CAAAATTTGGTGAGATGTATGAGTGTCCTTTCTTTCTTTTTTTTTTAAAGAAGAATATCTTCTAGAATTTTTCGACTAATTTCTATTCGTAATATCTATCGATTATCTTTTTATTTATATCGTTTGTATTTTATCACTTGTCAATCTCAAGTAAATATTCAGAAAAGCACGAATTTTTATTTTGTCATTTGCGTATAGAACTTTGTATAACAAAGTTAATCAATGTACTAAATAATTTACTTAACTCTAATGAGACGAAATATTCTACCGAGTCATAACTGCATGAAAATCCTTTTATTTGATATAAGTATTATATCATGTTATATTATATAGATAAAAGATTAGCTCTTTTTTTTTTTCATCAAGAAAGATAAAGAGATATGAAGTGAGCTTAATTTTTTTTTTCATTCCTCTTCTTTTTTTGACATTCTTCAATCATATAAAAGACGATCGATCAACGACAGCAGGTATATATTTTTAGATTTTCTTTTTATATTAAAAATTCGTATTTATTTTGTATCGATACAGTTCTTAATATGTATACTAATTATCTGTAATAGAACTGGAAAATCGATAAACAATTTATCTTTGTTTTTCTCATTTATCATAGATGATTGTTCAAGGTTTCATTGAGACCGAAATTACTAGAAAAATCTCTTTCATATAAATGAATAAGAATAAGCCAAGTAATTAACTTTTTAATATCTATGAATATTTGCTAGCTATTTATTATCTTTCTCTTTTTTTTTGTATTTAAATTATCTTATCCAAATTCGAATAAAAAAAGAAGAAGCAAAGTAGATAATATTTTCCTTTTACATAATTATATGTAGTATACAAATACATTGTTTCTCTAGCTAATTCTCTATACATTATATATATATATATGAGAATATTATCAAATGAAATATACATTTATAGCGTGAGAAAACAAAGAAAATTGATATGTTCTGTAAATTAATAATGTCATATATACTATTTTTAGTTCATCTGAATCATTATCTATTCATTATTCCATCAAATTATTCTTATATTTATTGATATACATCACTATCAAAATATTGATTTCATGTTTTGTTTTTTTTTTTTCGATCTGTCATTGAATAGATACTCGAATGGGTCCAAATAATAGTACTAAACGAAGTCCAACAGATATTTATACATTTCTTGAAAAAGAAAAAGAAAAATTTATTGAAAAACTTGAAAGTCCTATTCGACAAAATGCTAATTTCGAAGATTTTGAACTGATACGTACAATTGGTACTGGATCATTTGGTAAATAAAAAAAAAATATTCTTTATTTTATGTTGTTCTTTTTTTTCTTTGAAGGTCGAGTAATTTTGGTGAAACATCGGAAGGATTCTGAAAATGAAAAATTAGCATTGAAAATTCTTGATAAACAAGTTATTGTTAAAATGAAACAAATTGATCATACATTAGCAGAAAAAAAAATTCTTCAAGCAGTATCATGTCCATTTATTGTTAAATTATTATATACATTTAAAGATAATTCTTATTTATATTTGGCTCTTGAATATGCACCTGGAGGAGAACTTTTTACACATTTACGTGCTATGTCACGTTATACAGAAGATATGGCAAGATTTTATTCTGCACAAATTGTACTTGCTTTTGAATATCTTCATCATTTAGGTGTTGTAAGTTAATTTGGACAAGATTTTTATAATTATAATTGTTTTTTTTTTTGTTTCAATTTTTAAAATATTTAGATTTATAGAGATCTCAAACCAGAAAATTTACTTTTTGCATCTGATGGTTATTTAAAAATGGTATATTTAATTGAAAAGTTAATAAACAAATAAGTTTTTCTCTTTTCTATAGACGGATTTCGGTTTTGCAAAACGTGTAAAAGATCGTACATGGACATTATGTGGAACACCTGGTAATTTTTGCTAAATGAATCAATTTTCAACATTTAAATGGATTCATAATTATTTTTATTTTTAGAATATCTTGCACCAGAAATAATTCTCAGTCGTGGTTATAATAAAGGTGTTGATTATTGGGCATTAGGTGTACTAATGGTACATATGATCTTCAACTATCTTTTTTCAAATACATATATTTTTTTTTTTTCTTTAGTATGAAATGAGTGCTGGTTATCCGCCATTTTTTGCGGATCAACCAATTCAAATATATGAAAAAATTGTTTCCGGTCGTGTTCGTTTTCCAAATCATTTTTCAGTTGAGATTAAAGATTTACTTAAAAATTTACTTCAAGTTGATTTAACACGTCGTTATGGTAATTTAAAATCTGGTGTTAAAGATATTAAAGAACATCGATGGTATAAAGATCTAGATTTTATAGCTATTTATGAAAAAACTATTCCAGCACCATTTATACCAAGAACAGATAAAGAAAATTATGAAACATATGAAGAACAACCTTTAGCAGTAGGCACAACTGAACGTTTTCCAAGAGAATTTCTTGATTTTTAGAACAAATCTATGTTTCTAAAAAAAAAAGATCTTTTCTTATGCTTTGTTTATTCATTTGCGTAGAAAATTTCTTTGCTTTTTTTCTTCGTGATATATTTTTCTTTTGTATTAAAAAAATAACAAATAAATAAAATTTGTTATCATCAGTCATGGTAGAAATTTCGACTTTTCTTTTTTTCATAAATCATTCATTATAATAAAATTGTACGAAATAATTTTTGAAAAGATTGTTTGGATAAATGAGCATGACTATTTCTATTAACAATTATTCTCAGATAGAGTTAATAATACATAATAATGTATCATTTTCAAATCTGAATCAGAGTATAGTTTTCTTCGTTTTGCCTGGCAGTCTGCAGGATATAATCACTCAGTCATCCTATTTTGTATAGGATGCAACACAGAGTATCAAAAAGTTCGTCCTTGTAGGACGACATTTCCATTGCACTTTTGACAAGGATAAAAAATTGTTTGTATATCAGACACGATGTCAAATATCATAGACATATTATTTATATAAAAATCATTCACAGTGAACAAAACAATGATAAGGCAAACATAAGGATACAGGATTCAACATGTAATTAGTATAAACAATTGGACAACGAGAAAGGATAAGTTTTCATAATATTGGAAAATCACGATGAATTTCACTAATAGGCTAAAAGTTCATTGGATCACGACTGGAATATCTTCTAGAACTCAAATATTATTCTGAAGATCCTACATTGTAAAAGCAAAAAAAAAGGATTGTTCTATGATGTTCTCTAATATGAATCAATCATTACATTTCTGAATAAATTCAGTCGTTTTATCCGAAAGTTGATGGTAATGTTTAAGCTGAAACAAATACTCAAAAACTCGGCATTATATAAATCTTCTACAAATTTGAGAGATTGATCTCATAAAGTAATCAAACATTCTATGTAATTAAAATTGTAGAAAAATCTCCGATAAACCGTGTGGTATAATGTGCAATCACTACTATACCCACAATCAACATGCGGTAGTTCGATACTTAAGTGGTTGCATATCTTCTGACCACAATGTGTTGTCGGTAGTACGACCAAACATGCAACATAGGGTGAAGAAAGAAAAATTCAAGCTTTTGTGATTCATTAAGAGTATCAAAGTACGATCCGACCGGGTCCGAGTTCGAAAGTTTTGGACCCGACCGGCTCTATCCATGACTGTAACCAAAAAATTTGGTCATGCCGAACACTAGTCCTAACTCATAGCTTTTGATTCGTTGACAATACATTCTAGCCAGTCAAAAGTGAACAAATGTCTTGTCTAAAAACTTTTCGATCACCTATTTATTGTAGCCACAATCTTCATATAGTCCCATATCTTGTTAATCTAATTCAAATTCCAACAAATAAATACGAATCATTATCGGTTTTCTTTTTATCAAAACTAATCATTTTCTTAAATCTGTTGTTTCCAAACATGAACAGTTTTATCATAAAAACTACAAGAAGCAATTAAACTATCTGATAAAATTTTTTTATCACATGTTGCTGTTGTTTGTTCATTCATACAATCATCCATTAATTCTGATAATTGATTCATTGAATCATTATATTGCCAATCACAACCATAAGCTAATGATCCATGTTGTTTATAATTACATAAAATTATTGATGTTTTTAAATCAACAATAACAAAACCATTTTGCATACAAGCACATAAAAGTATATTTTGATTTAAAGGATGTGATTTCATTTTCCATACACCACCGCCTAATTTTATTTGTTTTAATGGTTCATTCATTTGTCGTTTATCCCATTGTCTTAAATATTCATCAAATGAACCTGTTAAAAATTCATATGAATTAGATTCATTTGAAATTATTGAACATATTCCCATTGTATGTTTTCGATTAATATGTATAGGTTGTTTACAATCTCTAATATCCCAAATTTTTAATAATGTATCATCAGCACCAGAATAAATTATATTAGAATCATGTTTATCCCATATTGATGTCCAACATTCATATTCATGTGCTAACCATGATTGAGTAAAACGTAAACCATTTGTATTATCTAATTCACATATTGTTAAATAACCTTGTTGATCACTAATAACAACATAATTATTTATTGCATTTAACCATGAATGTGATAAAGCTATTGTTTGATCATTAGTTACATCTTCACATAGAATTGATTTTGTTAAATCATTTAATGTATATAAAGATAATTGTCCAAGTGCTGAAACAGTTGAAAGATATATTAAATCTGATGAATAATTTATCCATTTTAAATCAAGTATTCCATTTGTTGTTTGATGTTGAATAATATCAATTGTTTTTGTTAATGAATTATATTGAAATAAATAAATTGAACCTTGTCTTGTCATATTTTCTGGATTATATAAATATGTACCACAAGCAAATATATCATGACGTATAGGACACCATTCAATACTATCTGGTGGACAATCAGTTATAAAATTCGCTTGAAACATATTTCTAAAAATAATTAAAAACAAAAAAAAAACAGAAATTTATTTAAAAAAAAAATTCTTTTTTTGATTTATTTCGAATGTGTATGAAGTATAATAAGCCAAGAAACAAGAAAATAAAATAAAAATATTGGATAGAGTACAAGTATACGACGATTTGGATGTTGAGTTTGACCAAGAAAACAAATACTTGCATACATTGTCCATGTAAATGCAATCATTACTATTAAAAATCGTATTATATGTAATATAGATTTATATGGAAGATAGAAAAGAAAATTATTTATAAATGCAGATATTAATAATGGTAATAAACAATAACCAAGTACACAAATTGATTGAAAAAAAGAAATTTTACCACCGAGTAATTGAGAATTGATCTAAAATATGATTTTAAATTATTAAAAATAAAAAAAGTAAAATATATATCGAAAATGAATTGGTAGCCAGATATTGGTGAAAAACAACTCGGGTCTGGATCTACAAAGGTGTGGACTCACAGCTTCCTACCTTTGATGCCGAGTTATAACCAATTTACTTCATTTTTAACCTATTTTTAGATACTTTCCGAAACATCGAGTAACGAAGTTTTGAACTGAAATTTTACCTATAGATAGGTAAAATGATTCGTAGGATATCCTGAAAGTTTCAGCCGAAAAGAATGTTCCTTCGTCGAGTTATTGAAGTTTCAAGTTTCGATATATTGACGAAAAAACACTCTTTTCAACTAAAACTTTCTGAATATTCTAACAGTCATTAGACCTATCTATACACAAAATTTTAGATAGAAAAACTCAGTAAATTGGTCATAATTCGGCAACAATAGATCATAGGAACGAATTCTTTTCAGGCTTTTGCGAGTCTCACTGAGATTCATCTGTAAATTCAATACGAATTTCAATGGTGAGCGTTTCTTGAGATAGTTCAACTTTTTTTCCAAAAGATTCACTGTGCAATTCTCTACAAAACCTCATAACAAGTTTTAATATAAAAAGTCACGCTGCAGAATCTTACAGGAGAGATAACAAGACACGACATTGGTACTTTTTTCAACCATTTCCTTCCGTTTTTTTGCTTTCTCAAGCGACAAATATACGCAATATCGGCAAAGTAAATATTCCATTTTGCAAGCCTTCGAGAACTCTGTCTTTTATTGTTATCTCGAATTGCATTCTTTTCCTTGGATCCCTTTTCAAACTTCATGAGGCTTTTGTTTTTTTGCAAAAAATTTATGTGGCATCTTAAAATTCATGACTTTTAAACATAACTTTGTTCTTAACTATTTATTTTTCTCTCTATACGAAGAGCAACGATAGTTCTATCGTGCGTAAGCAAAGAAATTAGTTTACGCTCAATTATTTGACTAAGAACGTGCGTGTAAAGAAAATGTTCGACTTTTTGGAAGCTTATACTGCACATAATATCGCTTTTTTATGCATCATGATTTTATGTAAGGAAGCTTCACTGTGTATAGAGGCAAAAAAACACAATTAAGAACATATAAAAGCTGTTTAAAAAATCACCACTTTCATGTCTTACAAGCTTTCTTATACAATTTTCCAATGTAACCTTTTACAGTAAAACGACTTATAAGGTTTTGTAAAGCGCAATCTATTCTGAATCACAAGTTTTGAATCAAAAAGAAGATCTGATAGAAATCATACGTGCCGACTCGAGTCTCTTAAATGATTCAAAAATGATTGAACAATAAAATAGTCCTGTTCTCTAACAAATATAGTGAGAGAAAGCAGCTATATTCTATGGAGTTTTGTATGAAATAATTCAAAGAATATTTAGTCCTGTAACATGTTGAGTTCATTCCAGAAAGATCTATCTGTATCTACTCTTTTCAAATGTCACAGTAACCAAATTCTCGAATCAAAATGAAAGTCAAGAGATTAAAACAAATGTTATACCGTAATAGCGATTGATCCAATTAACATTAATATAAATACTTCAGCAAAATGCATACCACTACTTGTTTTTGTAGTATTAGTTTGAAGAAGAATAGCTAATGTTGTAACTAAAATAAGTGGTCCCCATAAATCCCATTGTTGTAAAAGTGTTAATGATTGACGTGGAATAAGTGCATGACTAAATTTTCGAAGAACAGCAGAAAGATCACCTTTTTGAAATTTGAACAAAAAAAATCATTTTCCTTTTATTTTTTTGAAGAAAAAAAAATACAAACGTTTTATAGTTTCGAAAATTGGCTCATCAAGTGTTGATAATTCATTTTGATTTGAAGTTGATGTTATATTACCATCAATTATATCAATTGGTTGTGATGATGAAAGAAATGAATTTTGATCGTTATTCATAAGTTTCTAAATTTTCACGAATAAAAAAAAAAAAATAGTAAATTTTCTTACAAAATTAACTCGTGTTTTATCTCTCTATGAGTCATGTTCGATTTTTATTGGTTGACAATTTTTACCAATGAGAAAAATAAATAATTTTACCAGGGTTATTATCTTTTTTATTTTTCTCAGCTTATCACTTCGACATTAATAATAAACATGTACAAATGACTATGTACATTACTATGCATACAACGAAAATATGTCGTTCTTTCTTTTTTTGTTTTTCGTATTCTCTGCATTCAAGAAAAAGTACAACTTGCATTTTTAAATATTCTGTTTCTATGTTACGCGTGAATGCGTAATAGAAAGAATAAAAAGCTTCAATTCATTTAGATGTGTGTGTTCTTTTGTCTAAGAGAAATATTTTAGATGTTAATTATTTGGTATAGAATTTTTTTTTCCTTAATTTATTCTTCTATTATTGTATCATCATTATTAAATCAATCAATATATCTTGATTCAATTTATCAAAATATTAATGATTATACATCAATAGATAAATTCTATCGAAGTATTTTACATGACGTAAAACATCATCGACCTGTTGATACTGTTTATTCGCCAATAAATATAACAAAAATTCGGTCAAATGATTATGATGAAGAATATATAAAAAATTCTGTAAGATTTCAATAATTTTTTCTTTTGAAGAAATTTTTCTATGAAATTACATCTATTCCTAGTGTTATGAAACAGCAGCTGATTTACTCCATGCTCATGGTTATAATAGAACGGATATTAAATTATCAATAACTGATGTTCAATCTCTTCTTCCAGCTATTTTATACACTATTGAAAATCCAGGATGTGCACGACAAGCACTTGTATCAAAATCAAATTCATTTTTTGATGGTAAGATGTGCGCAATTTAACACTTCCCTAATTTTTTTTTATGCATGACTAGGTAGAATGCATTGAGTTATTTCGATAAAGTGTCTCTTCAGTTTTTGAAATATCTCAAACTTCTGATTTCATCACAAAAAAAAAAAATATTAATTTTTCGTATGACCATGAATATGATGATTGTTTCGCTCTGTCCAATTCTATAAATATCTTTTCTCATTTTACGACATAAAAATTGCCTAGAAAAAAAGTAATTTTAAAAATTGCTTTTTGCCAGGTAATTTTCTATCACAAAATGAGAAAGAAATATTAATGCAAGTGTACAGAACGAAACAACTATTATATTCATGGTTGTATGAAAAATGAACATCTTTTGACAATACGATCTGAAATTCGAAACTTTTTTTAAAATTAGAAAAGCACTTTATCAAAGTAGCTCAATACACTCCAGTCAATCATACATAAAAGAAACTGAAAAAAAGATTTTACAGGAGTTTTGAGTTGTGAACATCTTAATATAGAAATTTCTTTTTTGATAATAAATATTTCGTATCTTTTTTTTTTTTGTATAATTTTAGTATGGATATTAGGTTTAATAGTTGTTATAGTTATAAAATTAATTCATGTAACAATATTTTTTATTGGTGGTAATCATTGTTTATCATTAACATCAGTGGGTGTTTCAAAAACTCTATCAGAAGAAAATGGAACAAGAGACGATAAAACAACTACTATTCGTTTTCCACCATTAAAATATCGTCTTTGGTTAGGTCTTGGGTTTAATGCATTTACATGTGGTCTTATGCTTGGAACAATTGTTTATCATTTAATTCCACATGTATAGAATTAAAATAATTTATTTTGATTTCATATTTGAATTTTACTTTTGTTTTTTTAATTTAGATTTATGAAGTACCCAATGAAAGTTTTGATTATATTTATCTTATTCGAGCAACTATTGTATTTTTTGGTGTCTATTTATTTTTTATTGTTGAAAAACTTCTTCGATTTCGATTTAAAATTGATGAAGTAAATTTATTGAAAATTTAATTTTTTTAATTTTTGATATTTGAATTTGTTTATATAGATGCATTTAAATGAAACAAATGATGATGAAAATGGTCCAAGAAAAATGTCAGATGCATCTATGATACAAATGGCTAGAATGCATGGAACATTACATGCAACTGGAGATGTATCGATGTGTGTTATTTTTTTTTACTTTTAATAAGAATAATTATTTTATAGGATGATCATCATTATAGACACTCAAATCCACCAGCGAGAATACCCGTAAGTCCAAATAGGAATTATTACTTACGAAGATTCATCACTTTTCTTCGATCATAAATGTTTAGGTTTCTTTTTTATTTAATTTTATGATAAAAAGTTTTTATTCATATATGTTTTACGATTGATTTAACTCAAATATTATTTTATAGGTACTTCGATCAAATTAGAATATGTGTTTTGTTTTTCTCTCTTGCAATTATTATGCCCTTGAAATTCAGTTGATTTTACAAAATTAGTACCAATCGAAAAAAACACAAGCATTTTTGATAGAATCGTTGGCATTTCGATTTTTCTTGAGTTTCAGACACAAGAAAAATAAACATACGCACAAAGTTTGATTCTAACTGCCTTGGACAAAATGAGATTCATAGACTTTTGTAGGTGGAAGGCTTCAGGCCATTTTTAGTCAATGACAACTTTTATTCTACTCATCAAGTTTGAAAAATCTTTTCACAATCCGAAGCTAATCGACATCTGGCAGATAGTTTCACAGTCAATAGTACAATTTTCAAACTTTGATTTTATATGAAATAGTATACTATTTAGTTTCTTCCATAAACAGCAATATAAAAAGAGAAAAGATCATCAAAGCGTCATACTCCGAACTGGATGCTGGGCATCCGATCTGGTTGCAAAACACGATTAGTTCTAAGATAAATAAATGTAGAATTCATTTTTCACATTAGTTACGTGATGAGAGTGATGATGAAGAAGTGATTTTACAAACAAATCAAGATCCTCTTAATAATGAAAAACCTACATCACATCATCATCATCATCATCATCATCATTCAACAAATGAACTTCCTCATCAAACACGTAATCTCATATTATATCATATAATTAATGATTTTTTCAATGATCTTATCTATGGATGTGGTTTATCAACAGCCTTAGCACATAATCGTCTGATTGGTTTAATCTTAAGTCTGATGATTTTTAGTGAAGGATTTCGACGTCATTCACGTAAGGCTAAAACAAAAAAAATATACTTTTTCTCTTCAAATAAAACAAATTATTATTTAGAAACTATTTCATCCATGGGTCGAAAACGTGGTCTTTTTTTTCTCATTATTTCAATATTTTTTCTTCTACTCGGCTATTTAATTGGTGGAATTCTTATGGAAATTAATCAACGATTTGATAATAATATCGTTTATATTCGTACAGAATATATTTATTCAATTGTATATGGTGCACTGTTTTATACAGCACTTGTAACCTTGGTAAGATATTTTTATAAGAATACTTAAGCTTTTTTTTTTTTATTACAGTTATGCTTAAGAAAGAATTAATTAGTAGTCGTGGATGATGTATTTGTTTAATCAAATAACAAACAGAAGGCAAAATAACTATTTCATGTAGATTCAATGAGAATAGAGTGTGTCACATAATATTCTGTAGGGATCGATTGATTTTCCCCTTTCTTTATTTTTAAATATATATAATGAGAAAGTATAAAAAATGCTGCATCTCATAATATATTCAACTTGAATAGAGAATAAAGCTTAAAAAAAAGAAAGGTTTTGTTTTTTTCTATAGTATACATTTTGAATTAAGCGGATTTCCTCGGTTATTTAGTTTTTTTTTTTGCATTTCTATTAACATACATTAGTTTATAGGTTACATTTATGCAGAGGTCTATATTCGAACATTATTATCTTCATAAAAAAATCAAATTTGAAGACTATTTTTGTCTATGGAAATGATTCATTTCCAAAACATATCATGTTTCTTTGTCATCTGTGTTGATGTGCATAGTACAACATCCCACTGTGCTATAGTTGTATGTTTCTTTGTTTTTTCTCATTTGTTTATTAATGCTTTTCATTATTGCATACATGTGTTTTGTCTGAATAAAGAACAAAATTCTTGACAATATTACTTAACATATTCTATTTAAAAGTGATGTGTAATTTGATTAACAATAACAAGCTTCTTATTACTATTATTATCAAATTTGCATTTATTTTTAACATATGATATAAGCATCGCATACCATAAATCTTATGTAACATATATAGAGTTTATGTATGTTATGACTTAGTTCTAATAATAACCGAAATTAATTAAGTACGGTTGTAAGAAAACCGTTTCAGATGGTTTTTTTTACCGTTTGACAGACACACTTAGGAATGTACGGTTGAATATTCAATTATTCAGATCGTTATCAATTGTGTACGGCATGATCGTAATAGTGTGCCTACCAAACGTTAATTTACGAGTGTAGACTGTGTGAACCGACACGTTTTTTTGCCTGTCTCGATGACTGTAATTATCATTCTGGGAAGTCTATGAATTCCTTTTTTATTATGATCCATATGTGTACGTATAGTATAGAAAAAAAGAATCATCAAGTTTTATGCTTTATTCTTTGTTCAAGGCAAATATATCAGAAAATATGACATTTTTCATACTTTCTTGCACTATGTAATATTTTTAAAAATAAATGAAGTATATGAATAAAAGCAAACACGAGGAGAATCACTGGGCCCCCGCACTGTAGAAATAATTTTAATTCCAATTGAAATTGTTTTATTAATTAATTATGTTTCAAATCTCATCAACTCACTTTCGTATCAATTTACTTAGACTTTCTCAAATGTTTATAGGATATATATCATACAGACATGAGAAATAACCGAACAAATAAAATATAAGAAGCAAATTAAATATACAAATAACATCTGTATCTTACGAACTGTTAATGAATGTGAAAAGTTGTTATAGAATTTGTAAACCTATGAAGTTTTCTATACTACGAGACAAAAAATTTATGAAAATAAATATTCAAAAAGAATTTATCCCATGTTACACGTTTATCCACACTATCGGCAGTAGATTGCCGGTCAGAGAACAACTTTCGGTATCACGCGATAGAATAATAGTCAGAAAATAGTTGGTCATTAAAATATCAAACTAGCGTCGGTTGATTGTTAATATACCAACGATTTTTTTTTATCCAGTTTGAATTACGATACGACGTATATATTGAGAAAATAAGTTTGTCGATTGCGGTGAAAAACAAAATAGGGAGTGTCGGCTCCGTCAATTTTAATAAAGCACTTTTTTTGTGTTTTATGCATAATTAAATATTTTTTCCTTTTTTATTACAGATTCCTGAATTGAATGATTTTGGTCATCATTTACAAATAATTCTTAAACAAACAAATCAAACATCGAGACAACGTCGTTTAATAAAAACACTTATTCTCCTATGTCAAAATCTTTTTCTTATCATAGGTGTTATAATTGCTTTAGTATTAGCATCAGTTTGGCGCTATTATCATCGTAAAAATATTTATGATTATGTTTGTAGTCGAGATACATCTCGATGGTTTTGTCGTAATCATTAAAGTTTTTTCAAACAAACAAAAAAAAAAAGTGAATCTTTTCAAGTATTATTTTTCTTTGATATTTGTAATAAAATATATTTCAATTTGATTATCTCTGCTAGCAATTCAATTTGATCATTTGTTCTTTTTTTTCTCTCTCCTCTACATGTTATTATGTTTATTCATAGTATAGCGATAATTTTGTTTTTAGATAATGATCTATTATCTAGTCATTATTTTGATTTTAGTGGAATCATATACAGTATTAACAATTAATAATGTATTAACTAATTTTGAAGAAAATATTCTTTATAAACATATTAAAACAAAAACTAATTTGAATTTATTTTATCGAAAATTTATTGAATCAAATAGTATAGATAATTTGAAAGTGATACAAAATATTCATCATAAAAACGATATTCAAGATTTGAATATAGAACATAAAGTAAATATATTAAATAATATTTCTTTTTTCATACTATTTAATAATCTTATATATTTCATAGATAATTATTCTTATTTATTGTTAAATAAAGAAATAAAACAATATAGTTTGTTTTACTTTTAATATTATTCGAAGTGATACATCTCTATAGAAATGATAATGATGACAATATTTCACCTGAGTTAATTTACTTTTGTTTTGCTTCAAATTGATATAATGTTTGCGAATATTTATTAAATTTATATGAAAATTGTAGGCTTAATGTAACTTCTAATCAGTTGTATTTTACATTCAATAAAGAATAAAATGTATATTCTTGAGTACGATTTATAAAGATAAAGATCAATAGATCTTTGATTCTTTAGTAGTCAGCATATACTGGCGGACAAAAGTTTATAGCAATTGTGTTTTTCAGTTTTATCTAAAAAAAGACATTTATGTAGCTGGAAGGGTTCTCTATCAGGATTGATAGACCTGAAGACTGCAACAAATCTACTTGAATGAGGATTGTCAAAAAATCAAGACTTTCCAAACCTACTTTCTGGCTTCTATTCGAAGCTTTTTCGGAAGATTTTGTTTGATAGAGCAAAATGAGACATCTCCAATCTCTCCATAATCTTCCTTCATCAAACTCCATTATATTTACAGAAGGTTCAAAATATTAAACACGGCAAAAAAGAGAAATTTTCAATAAAACAAGAGAAAAATGCTTCGTAGACCTTCTGTAAATTGAATGCAATTCGATGAAGGAAGATTATGGAGAGATTGGAAATGTCTCATTTTGCTCTATCAAACGAAATCTTTCGAAAAAGCTTCGAGTAGAAGCCAGAAAGTAGGTTTGGAAAGTTTTGGTTTTCCGACAAGCTTCATCCAAATAGGTTTGTTGAAGTGTTCAGATCTATCAATCTTGATAGAGAATCCTTTTAGCTACATAAATATTTTTTGTAAATTCTTGCTAGTTATTACCATGTAGAAGAAAACTTAAAAATACAACTGCTCTAAATTTATGTTCTCCACTATATAGGTAAAAAACTATCAGGAATCTTTCAGTAGGCCGTCGGTAGTGCAACATGACACAGGCATCTGTAGTCAAGTAGGCAATTGTTGAAGGTTTAACACCATTAGAGTTAGAAGTCTGCAGTTTTGATCATTTACATTATTTCATTGTATGTATTCACTCATGTTCATTATTGTATTCAAAGATATTTCCGATTCGAGAACAATAGAACCTAAAATCTTTTATTTTAATCTATATATGCTTGTAAAGAAAACGACAGCGGAAGCGATGAGCACGAAAACAATCAGTATGGAGAAAGTTCAGTACGTAAAAAAGTCAAGGTAAAGTTGATATGTTGAAGATTTAAAAATAGCAGACAGAAAAGTGTTCTGTTATGTATTTGTAACATTGATTAACTGTTTTGTTTCTGTTCATTAAGATTGTTAATTAGAATGAGGTTAAATCTATTATACTTTGTTATTCGAATTCTAATATTTGATCTCATTAACATATATATTCTAAAGGCTACAACTGAATTGAATAAACGAATAATTCGATTCGAGTCCAAATGAAAATTTTCTTATTCATTTTAATCTCTGATAGATTCCTTGATGTTTTAATAGACTTTATATTTACCTTAATTACTTTCATGCGCTTAAGCTCCCCCTCCGTACCCTCACAATTGATCTGAGATCAGGTACATTCATATTGCATGAATTTTTCAGGACACATTGGTACTGTAGTGAAAAGACTATGCTAAAATTTGTTGTCCTGTACTATGTCGTTTTCGATAAATATTTAATAATCAAGAGGAAAAACAGAAAAAGATAACCCGTTATTTCTGAAAAAAAACCGATGTGCTAAATAAAAAATCATATTGTTTGTGAAATATTCGATTTCAATGCATCCTTCTATGTAGTCATCCTAATTGCAATATGGCTGATGGACATGAACTTGTTTTGAAGGGGAATCGGAGCTTAAGTTTCTGATAGTTAACGTTCACCAATCCAAAGAAAGCATTGAGAAATAGACTAATGTACGATGTCGATACTGTTATTTTGTCTGAAACGCGAAATATCTTTTAATAAAGCCTGTTCATGCATTGAGAATTTTGTTTTTTCGAACGAAGAATCACAATCATCTAATTATAATGAGACTAGTTCTTTTAAAAAATAATTAATAATATCTTCACGTAATTTCTAGTGTTTTAAATCAATAAATGATCTGTTCAATGTCTTCAATATTCAACCAGATAGTATAAATGGAAGTTTAACTGACGTTGATATCCAACGATTATTACCTGCGCTAGTTTATGCTAAATTCAATTCTGACTGTCGCAAATCAAAAGGACATGGAACATGGAAAAGTATACAATAAGTGTGATTATATAATTTCAAACTCTGTTATTATTCTAGACATTTTGATCGGAGTGATTGCTGTTACTTTTATTAACTGCTCAGCATTGACCGGTGCTTTTATTTTACCATTTCGAAAAAAATCTGCTTTTAAATGGATTCTTAGTGCTTTTATTGGTTTAGGTATAACGACTATTTATTTATGAATCCATATACATATATATCGAAAATCTGTTTTTCTTTTTCATGTTGTTTTTCAGCTGTGGGTACACTAACAGGATCAGGGATATTCCATTTAGTGCCTATGGTTAGTTCATGAACACACTTATTTTTATTGAGAATAAGTCGTTTTCTTTCGTTTTTTGTTTTATTAAGGCATTTAACATTCCAAAACTTGATATTTATCATTGCTATCTTAATAAAGCTCTTCTTACAATGATTACAATTTATATATTTTATATACGTGATCAACTATCAAGAATTTTCTTAAATATTGAAACAGTTTGTATATGTTATTATTTAACAAATCTTTTGATTTAATTTTACTTTTATATTTAGATAATATGTACACATAGTCATGACGATGATGGAATATCAGTAAATTTCTTGACTTATTTACTTAATTGAAATAGTTGTTTTGTTTTTTTTCTTTTCGATTGTAGTTAGAATCAAGTGATATAAATAAATTTATTTCATCTAGTACTCAAAAATCAACTGATAAAAGTTCTAAAGTATGTCTCAAATAGTTCAAATTTGGAAGGGCATGGTAATGTTCACTGTCTAGAAAATTCAAATTTTTACACATCATTATGCAGTGTATGCTTCACCAAGCTAAAGAATACTATTACAAGTGTTCGGAATAATATCGATGATGTATAGCTAAAGTTCATTTTTACACATTCATTAGAAGGAATATCACTTCCAGTTTGGCGTTAGGTTGGACTGAAAAATTCATTTTATTATGACAAGTGTAGAGTGTATGGGTGCTGATGTTGCTGTAGCTGTTGGATGTGTGTGTGGGAGTGCTGATGTTGTGATGGCTGTGAGACGTGAGTACAGGCATGAATGTCGGTACTGATTTTGTCGTGGCTGCTTGGTGTGAGTGTGTATGCTAACGTCGCTGTAACTGTGGGATACACAAGTGTGTGAATGCTGATGTTGTTGTGGCTGTGGATGAAGATAAGAGCTGCGCTTATATGAATACCCTCACCCATACGCATATTCTTATATAAAGTTCATGCCTTTTTTTTTCACTCGCCTAATTGTGAGCTAGCTGACGTTTTATTTTAAAATATATGTTAGAAGTCAAAGATAAATCAGGATAACTATCGTATAGTGCTAGTCATCGATGCTAATATTCAAGTTACTCAAAGAACCTTTTGTGAATAGGTGACTGTAATAAGATAAATTTCCAGATCCGACTCAGTCCCATAACTATGCACATCATTTGTATATACTTTTCATATTAAAAGGAATTAATTGACTAGACATGAGCGAGACTAATCGTTTTCGAGAACACTTGTCTAAACCTATATCTCTGATTCTTTGCAAAAACTAATGATTAATTTGTTTGTTCAAAATCGATTTGAATGTTTTTTTTTCCTTTAAATAAATCCTTGTTTTCCTGGTCTTTTTTTAGGGCACCGTTCCAAATAAACATCTCGATAATTTAATAAAAAATTTAAAAGCAATGAAAGCAGCTGGATGGATGATTTTTATTGGAGATATGTTACATAATTTTATTGATGGTTTAACATTAGGTGCAGCTTTTATGGTATCGATTGGTGAGGGTCTTCGAATGACATTACCAATAGCATGTGAAGAATTTCCACATGAACTTGGTGATCTTGCTGTTTTACTTAGTAGTGGTTTAAGTATTGGACAAGCAATTGCAGTCAATTTTCTATCAGCTTGCAGTTGTTATCTTGGTTTTTTTATTGGGGCAAAATTAGGTTTGTTAAAATTTAAGTTATTCAATAAATAATTTAATTCTTTTTCTTCAGGAGAATTGGAAGAATTTCATCCATGGATATATGCTTTAGCTGGTGGAATGTTTGTGTATATTGGACTTGCAGATATGGTAGATGAATGTCTTGTTTTGAATCAAGAAATTCTTTTTTTTTTCGTTTCGTATAGATACCAGAACTTGTTTCAATGGGTGATGCGATCGAAAAAGATTATATTGACTCGAGAAAATCGATAACAATTTTTTTTAAACTTAAAATATTATTATGTCAAAATAGTGGTGTTATTCTTGGTGTTACTATTATGTTTCTACTTGGAAAATATGGTACACATTTAGAAAATCTCATTCAATTCTAGAATGACAAAAAAAGTTTTTCATGTATCGCCCAGCTGATTTATAACCATAGGATGAAGAAATGATCTTTGAATTTTTTGTTTTTGTTTTTTTTTTATTTGTTTTCGATAGTCATTTGTTATGAATTTCATTTCGTGTGATTTTTTGAATAAAGAGAAATAAAGAATGTTTAATAATTAAAAATATTTAAGTAAAGTAATACAATAAATTTAATTCATTTCAATAGCAAAAAAAAAATATTTGACTAATGTCCGCGTAAGAATTACAGTGCGGTGTGTCTAATCTCAATAGCTCGACAATGGCAACAGCTAGGAACCTGTAACTTTCAGCAAATAAAAGCGGAGAGCTCCGAACGTCTTTTTATCTGATACTATATGAAACAAAACTATTTTCAAAACCCAGTATTTTCGCCAAATATTCAAAAAAAATGCATGAAAATGGTATTTCGTTTCGGTTTAATTTTGAGTTTGACACGTGGTTCAGATCTATAGTTCAAGACACGATTCAGATGATTGTCTTCTCACATCTCTGTATTGAACAAACAAAGTTGGATATCTATTTCGTCGAATGATATAGAACTGTATTGAGTTTTAGCAAATTTTCTGACTTTTTATCAATATTTCTTTGAAAACGGAATATCGTTTTCGTGCATTTTTTTGACTGTTTTGCGAAAATAATGGATTTCAAAATAATTCCGCCTTATATAGTATCCAAAGAAAAAGGTCGCTCGGACTTTTTCTCTTTCGATTGCTGAACACCGCAGATTTCTAGCTCGTCAGCTAAGGATTCTAGTCCACTCCTGAAAGTTTAAGATTTGTTGCATCTTCATAGGACAACAGACTACTCTTTCAATATGACGAGTTGGCCGAAAATAGACAGAGTTCGAATAAGAATGGAGAGAGAAACATAAAAACGCTTTTTATAGGAATGTCATTTGTGGCTGGCCCTTAAGGTTTTCTAAATTAATTTCGTCATCATCTTCTGATGTTTGACTTTCACCATCTTCCATTTCGGAGTCGCTCTCTTGGTCAATAAAATAATCGTTATCACTTTCATCTATAATCGAATTGTCCATAATCGTTGTCATAATAATGCGGACGCTTGAATACCAATGATATGAGAAAAAAATTTCAAGTCTACAAGTCACAAGTAAATGAAGAAGCACTAGATAAACTGGCATTAGCTGAAGCAATAAACTGTTAAGGACAATTGGATATAAAAAAATAATCTCCTTCATGGTTTTACAAGCTTTCAATATGATATTTTAACCTCATTACTCAAAAAATATAAAACCAGAAAGAAAAGGCAAGTTGTACCTTTGATCTACAATGATGAATCATTTATTATGGTAATTGGATAGCTCGAAAGCACTCAGAAAAATATTTTTAATGGGTTGGAAATATATATCCACTTATATTAGTAAATGAGTCATTGGATTATATATTGTAAGTTTTATTTTTTCTCCTTTCTTGTGATATGTTTGTTGTATGCTGAAGACATAGTCTTGTATCAAAGACTTGTAATGATATGGAAACAAATGTATTTCTTTTTCGATTCAACAACATGGATCTATTCGTAATGGATGCCAGTTGCTTCTAAAAACCGAGAAAAAACAAACTATTTCTAGGGTATTTTTCGATTTTTGAGCTGGGGTCAAAAATGATACCGGCTAGTAGTACTAGGGTTAATAACTTACAATGGAAAGTCGTGTACTGTAAGTTAAAGAAATTGATCATATTCGAGTCAAATGAATCTTCTTACTACCAAATTAGATTATTTTAAATATGATCTGCTCAAAATATACAAAGACCGACATTATACGAGTTTCGATGTATTTATGGTCTATCATGTATCCACACTTCAAAATAAATTCTGCTAGCCTTCATTTTTCGTCATGGTTAGATAGAGCTCGGTAAATTACATAAGAAAAAAAATAATATTACATATATTCAAAAGCAATTTTACAGCAAGTCCATGAGACTATTATTGTTAAATATAAAGATAATAGACAAAAAAAAAACTCTCTCTTTTGTACAATTGTTTTTGAATAGCTATGATATTATTCGTTTCTCTGTAATTTGTCGAACTCCAGCCAACCATAACGAAAAAAGAAGAATGAAGACTATCATCCTTTTCAAGTGTGGCTACATACTATCGACTATAAATACTTTGAAATTTAAGTAGCTCGGTCCATACTTTAAAATATTTAGTTTGACATTGAGAACATTCATTTGATCTGAATATATAATCAATCTTCTTAACTTACAGGGGACACGATCTTCTATTGTTAGACATAACAATTTTAGATTTGTATAATTCGATATAAATAATCAATACGATACCATCTGAATCTTTCAAGATTGTAAGTTGCGGTGCAACCAGGAGATTGTAGTTGGTAAGGTAGTGTCATGCGATCATAGAAGAAATTCATGAAATTTAATGTCAATGATAGTACTTATTACATTTTTCTTTCCTTCTGTTGGAAGAGTGGCACTTGGCCTAGCGCATCCTTGGTGACGCCACTAATTGTAAAAACCCGTGTCAAAAAAAGGAATTGTTGAATACCGTAAAATCCAGCAGCTTCCAGGATTGATTTTTCTATAAATCTTGTTTTATATCTCATTATCAAATGGATTGAAATAGATTAAAGGCAGACTTTTCAGAACTAACGTTCTCTTTTGATACTGTTAAATTCTATTATATGTTATTCACAGATAAAATTTTAAAAAAAACCCTAAATCCCGTTAACTGATCGTGTAGTCAATCAATTTTTTCCATGAAGTCCTTTCTCTTCTGGATCAACCTAATTTCTCTCTTTAACAAAAGTTTATCTAACCAACATAACGCATAATTCATTGTAAACTAGCGAAATCTATCAAATTTGATATCCAGCTGTGACCAATCATAGCGAACATATCGTAGAAACAAAGCAGCTTTTTTTTTTTTTTATTATGTTTTGCTTGAATATATAATCTCTCTTTTTTTTTGCTTCAGATATCGACAAAAATGGCATCATCATCTGGTACTGTACCTGACATTTTGCCATCACAAATTTTAAGTGTTAGTCCAAGTTTACCAACAAATAAATTACTTGATAATTTAACAGTAAAATATTTTTCGTATAAAATTGTTTTTGTTTTTCAATTATAAAATTAATTTAGAAAAATCAACGACTTTTACAATCATTACCACAAAATTATGAAAAACGACATTATTTTACTAGTTTTTATAAAACATTATTGGATGATTTTTTTTATACACATGAACGTGATGATGTACAATTATATGCTGCTATTTGTCTCGCAGATATTATTCGTATTTGGGCACCAAATTTACCTGATGCACCACCTGAAAAATTACTAGTAAAATTTAAAAAAAAATTTTTATTCAATAAATTGTTCATATTTATTTTCTTTTTTTTAAAGAATATGTTTCTATTTCTTGCTCGTCAATTACTTGGATTAAAAAAAATTGATGATCCATTATTTAGTCGACGTTATTATTTACTTGAAGTAAACAAATTTTAACACTTTTTTGAATTCAATGAAAAAATTAAATTCTTTTTAGAATTTAAGTATGGTACAATCATTTATACCAGCTGTTAATCTTGAAGATAATCGTGGTTGTCAAATAAGTACTGTTGTACTTAATAATTTGTTTAATGCTGTACAGTATGTTATTTATAATTAATTTTTATAAATAAAATAATTTTGTTTTTTTTTTTTTCAATAGAAAAAAACATACAGATCAATTAAAAAATTTAATAATTGAAATTGTATCAGTTATTTTAGCTGAATATGAATCAATACCATTTTCATTATTAGAATTACTTTTTGCAAGAATTATCGATCCAGAAAAGGTAATGAGAAATATTTAAAAATCAAACTAAAACTTGATCGAAAATTTTAATTATCTTTATATGTTAAAGTTTTTAAATTAATGAAAATACTTATTCTATGAAAGTGTTCAGATCTTTTCCTATCCGGAAATATGAACATCAAATCTACTAGTGTATATAAGCAACGGGAAAAGAATACATTTTTCTCATCGCTATATCTTAGAGTAGGAATAACAAAAAAAAATACTTTCATAATAAACTATTTTCGTTTAAAATAAAATCTTTTGAGCAAAGTTTCAAGTCAAAATTCGAAGAATTTGAGAATTTTTTTTTTTCTTTTAGAAATTACGTGAAGAATGTTATGAATTAGTAGAATCAATAATTCGTCGTGGTGAATCATATTTAAAACCAGCAATAGCTGAGGTAAGATGATTGTTAAGATTTTTATTTTTTTAATAATATTATTTTCTTTTTTTTTTTTTTGAAGTATTTTAAAACTGTTCTAATAACAGAAGATACGGAATCATTACAATTACATAGTAAAATTTATTATGTATTTGACGAATTATGTCATATATCTGAATCAATTGTTGATGAACTTATCCCAACTATTGAACATCGATTAACAGTGAGAACAAGGAAAAACAATTTTTTTTTAATGAAAATCAATTATATTTTAGGTATCAAATGAAAAACATCGTCGGGATGCAGCTAAAATTGTTGCTTATGTGACTAGTTCGCCTAATAATGATTTTGCACAACGACATAAAACTTTATGGAATACATTTCTTGATCAGTATGTTTATTAATAATAATTTTATGAAATTTAGACAAATGTTTTTTCGAAAGGAAATAGTGAATGTAAGATTTATCAACTTCACATAGCAATAGAAAAAATGCTAAATGACATTAATAATAAGACTTAGAATATATTCTAGAAACCTTCGTTTTTGTAACAGAAATAAATAAGACAGATCGTTTTCATATAGATCGTATATCCTCTCCTATTGTAAGTTAGTTTGCACTATTGGCAATTTTTGTTCGGTTTGAATCACATGAATAGATTTTTGCACTTTACATGTTTTGTATTATTATGATGAGTTCCAAGAATATAAGCTTTATTTGATTACAAAAAAAACTAATTATTTAGATTTAAAAATGGTACATCTGAAATTCAATCAACTTGTATTAAACATCTTAAAAGTTATTTTGTTAATCATCCAGAATTACGTACCGATCTTGAAGGTTAAATATTAATATATTAATCTTTATTTTGAATTAATTCTTGTTTTTTTTTTTTTGTCGATAATTAGATGTGATGATTCGATTAAGTCTTTCAACAGATACAAATATACGATCACAACTTATGGCACAAATACGTTCTATGACAAGTTCAAATTTATTAGATATAAGTGATAAAATGAAACAAATTTTATGTGAACGTGCACGTGATAAAATTGTATATTTACTATTTTGAAGAAGAATTTTTTTTCTTAATAAATATCTTTGTTTTTACACTCTCTTTAGTGGGAAGTTCGTAAAGAAGCATTAGATTATCTTGGACATGTTTATAAAAAAGAATGTAATAATCATAATTGGTCAAATGATATACAAAAACAATTAACATGGGTTGCAAATTGTATTATTCATTTATATTATCAAAAAACTACACAAGACAAGTAAGATTGTTTATATTAATTTTAGTTTATTTAATATAAATTTTTATAAATTTTAGATTATTAGCAGAACGACTTTTAACATTTTATCTAATGCCATGGGATGTTAATGCAGATGATAAAGTTCGAGTTTTATTGACATTGTATTCAAATGTAGATGATAATGCTCAACGGTAAGTTTTTTTTATCTTTAGCTTACTAAGAAAAGTTTTGTAATGAAAAAAATTCTATCAATGCAATGCTATTTATAATCTATTAAATTATGCTAAAGATTGATTTCATTATATTTTGATTTTACTTTTTTTAACTAAAACTTTTGAATTTTATTATAATTGATTGTGAGAATTGAATGTTTCTGTCGGAAGAAAATTATATATATATATATTCTTGTTTTTAGAGCAATTCGTGAAATAATTCACAGCAAATTTTTGTATGTATTGATTTAAAATTTGAATGGATAATTTATAAACTTATTTTGTTTTTGCCTTTGACAATTATTAGATTTCGTCGACAATTAGTTAAATTAATTGATTTTTGTCTACAAATGGCCGATTCAAATATATCTAATGATGAAAAACAATTAATTGAATTAAAACTTGTTAGTCTTATTCATGTTATTGCTTTACGTAAGTTTATTTCTTTTGTCGATGATTTTTTTTGTTTTTGTTGATGAATAATTTATTTTCTCATTAGGTTGTTTACCAAATCCAGATAAAAATGAATCTGTTCTTAAATCATTAGCTGTATATGCAATTAAAAATCATAAACAATCATTAATAAATAATAATGAATCAAGTATATTATCAATATTTAAACAAGCTATATCCGATGGAATTAAATCAAAAGAAGCTTATGCTTTAGCTGTATGAAAAAAAACTAAAAATAAAAATATTTATTTATTTATATTTTAATATTTAGAATGGTATTGGACAAATGTTATTAGAAGAAGCAGCAAAAGAACAAAAACGTTTTCCAGGTCATACAACTGAAGATCAAACAATAACAACAACAATTGTAGAAAATAATGGTCATGGACAATATACAAAAATGTGTGGATTAATAAAAACAATGTTTGAAAAAATTTCAACACTTCTATTTGATCAAGAAACAGTTAGTAAATTACTTAAATTAATATTTGAACAAGTTTCAAATGGTAAAAAAAAATTAAAAAAAATCAGAAATCAAAAATAAAAAGTTTTTTTTTTTTGTTCTTTTATAGAACCTGAACAACCAGCATCATATTATGAAAATATCAATCAATTGTTAAAGGTATGTGTACTCATTCTATCGATAGAGAGAAGATCTATGCTGAAGCGTCTCACGATCACAGTGGATTGGAGTACGCTATCTTCATTATCTCGAGAAACATGTTTTTAATTTTGGTCATATATATTTATTTGAATTTCGATATAAAATGATTAGGTATTTATTCAATATCCATCTATTTTCAATTCTTCTGAGTCACTTGAACTTTTATGTAATTTATTAAAACAACGTGTACTTGAATTAGGTTTGTATTTTTTTTTATAAATCGTCTTTATCGAACACAAAATTTCATATTTCGATTTTTTGTTTTTTGTTTTAGCATCTATACTTATTCGTACAATTGAAGCATGTGCACCATTAATTATAACATTAAATCAAAATAATATGATGACGTATGTATTGAACAGAACAAAAAAAAAAAATCTACGATTATTTTGTTTTTTGTTAAATTTAGTCTTCTTAATTCTGAACTTTCATCTTATTTAACTCTTCATCCTCCTATTGCAAAACGTGCACTTTATTGTATATGTGCATTAAATCCAAATACAAAGGATGAAATTCTTCAAAAAATGATTGATGTAAAAAAAATTGTTTTGTAGTTTTATTTATTTTGTTTTTCTAATTTTTTTGAAAAAAAACTTTCTATAGGATACACAATATGATCAATTTGATAATGATCAATTTATAACACGTCTTGTTTTACTTGGTCATATGATTCAAATATCTCCAATTATTCTTGATGATATAGGTAACCGAATACTTTCAAATATATCAAAATATATTGTTGATAAACAACAAACAAATGATGATGAAGATAATATGACAACATCATTTTTTCATGGCAATTTTACATTATTACCGGATGAACCTCAATCAGATCCAGAAATTGGAGCGGATGCTCGTGTGAAAGTAATTGATTTCTTTTTTTTATTGATGAATTATTTTTTTACTCTTTTTTTTTTTTTGTTAAATAGCGTGAATTAGTAAAAGCAATGACACGAGCTATATTAGGTTTACGTGAAAATTCAGCTGGTTTATTTAATATTGTATATAAACTTATTAAAAAATGTATTGAAAATAACCAAGATTTTACAGGTGAAATGAGGTAAATAAATATTTCATAAGCTTCTTTCTATTATAGATTGATGCTTTGTTTTTTTTTTTTTTTTTTGGGAAAATTGAAATTTCAAATTAATAGGACTATACATTAAAATATGTATAGTTTTAGAAGTAGAAAATCGTTTTTTTGAAAAGTTTTTTTATTTACAAAATTATGAAAATAAATTGAACATAATAGAAAACTACTTGTTCAGGTACAATGCAAAGCTTGAAATTTTAAACTGATACAAGAATAGCTTATAATATAAAAGTATTGGATGAAAATCAAATTTTTCTTGTATAGCTTCGTTAGAACTGATCTGTTGTTAAAATGATGCTCTTATTAAAAAGAGAAGTTTCGTTACTTAGACGATTTAATTTATTTGTTGATGTTGGAGTCATTTCTTTTTAATTATTAGATAATCCAAAGGTGTCAGTCTAAGATTAAGACTCCATCAAAATGAGTCCATTTCTATCAGAATTATTGAAATTAAAATAAATGCATGGGAGAATAAGTTAAGATTGGATCTTTCACAAACAATATGATTTTTTTTATTTGACACTTCATTTTTTTTCCAATACTCTGCTTGAAAAATATGCGTCCTACAATTCTCGAATGCTAAATGAGCGTTGTTGATCCTCCTCCAAATGACAATTTGCTTCTGAGTCGGGACTATGCGCATTATGTAGACCTAAACGAACTATGAATACCATGAAAAGAGTTCGTGTCATTAGCTTATCTCTTCAGAGACACTGAACTTTTACGATATTTTTTCAAATGGATGTTAAAAATTGATTTTTGAATTTTGATTGCTGCTAATCTGAAATACAAATGCCAAATGTGCTGGATGATGTAAACGATATAAAAGACATCTAGTTGTCATAGTTGTATCTTAGGATAAGGATAGCGACAAGATCTGAAACTATTCTCATTAAGACTTGTCTCTATGGTAAAGTTTCAAGTCGAAATTCGAAAATCAGTTTTTAACATTCGTTTTAAAAAAAGCCGGTGAAAGTGCAGCAATCAACTAACCATAGTAGTCATAATTCATTTGAATCTACATAATGCACATAGTCTCAATTTATCAGTTGAAGAATATCTCTCGTAAGAAACTTTGTAAAGATTCGTTTCAATAGATTCAAATATTAATTAAATTATTAACTACTTTTCGATATATAAATAACTTGAAACATTATTCATACAATATTGAATAATTTTGATTAAAATTAAAACATATGATTTTACTTTATTCTCTTTTGTTTTTGTTTTTTTTGTTGTCTAGTGAAAGTGAAATAATTTATATTCGTCTATGTGGTTTATCATGTTTATTAAAATTAATATGTAATCCATATTTTTATACACGTATGAAACCAGATGATTTTCTTATTATAATAACTCTTCTTCGTGTAAGAAAAAAATGCTTTTATTTAATTAATAATTCAAATAAAAAAATCTTTTTTTTTTGTGTAGGATCCATCATCAGTTATACGTCAACGAACATATCGTAAATTAGCTGAACATTTACGAGATCCAATATGTCCTATTGAATTACTTGCATTATTAGCATTTGCAGCTAAAGAACCTGAACGTGAACATCGTGAACAAATTCGTCGTTTAATGTTACAAATTATTGATACACGTCGTGAACATATTAAATTACAATTATCTTATAAAACTACTCATACAACAGCAACAACAAATAATCATGAACATACAAATGGTTTTAATCATGATAATGATGATGATAATAATAATAATAATAATAATGATAAATCAATTGATTATACATTATATCCTGAATATTCTTTAACATATTTTCTATATTTTCTTTCAAAATCATCAGCATTTATTTTATATGATGATATTGAAATGTTACATACAATGACAGATTATTTATTATTTTTATTTGATGCTTTATTATTACGTTGTGATACAACTGTTGCTTTATTTTATAAAGGTTTATTACGTTCAATAAAATCATCTGAAGATGCAACAATATTATTAAATAAAGAAGAAAAAATTGAACGTAAAGATGCTATTAAAAAATTACATGTTCTTGTTGATTTAGCATATGTTATTTTATCACAACGTGCATCATCATTAATGATATGTCGTGCTAGTTCAAATGTACCATTACCTGATATGTATTTTAAAAAGACACGTTATAATCATTTATCTTATTTACCAAAAGATTTTAAAATTAAACTTAAACCTATAACAACAACAACAGTTAGCGATACATTAACAAATAAACGAACAATAATAAATAATTTAGAAACAAATAATAATACAACAACAACAACAACAACGATATCGAATATTACTGCTACAACAACAACAACAACAACATCACCTAAAACAACAATAACAAGACGAAAACGAACAAGTGGTGGAGAAAATGAAAATGTAAATGATTTACCTAATAAACGACGAAAAATTTCAGCAAATACAAAACAACAAAAAAGAAAAACGAATCATTCAATTGTGGAAAATGAAGATAATAATTCAAGTAAGTCAAATTGTTAACACAACCCATGCAAAACTAACAATCTAGCTACTGTTGTAAATCATAGCGATATTATTTTATCTCTATCTATCGGATCTGAACTGTACTTTGATACTCTCAGTGAAGTTTTCTCATCGGAATCAGATAACCTACGTGTAAAAAGTCTTGGCACAAAAGTCTTTTTCAGTTTTCTTTTTCATATCAGTAAATACTACAAACAATTACGTTTATAAAATTAAGAACAAGATGCTTTATCTGCAATTTTGCGAAATTGATTTCGTATGCTTGAAAACATGATTTGTACAATTTTTATATTCGTTTCTTTTTATTTAGTTTTTTTATAATTCTTTTCTTCAATTGATCAATTGATTTTTTTCTCTCTCAACCTTCTTCATACACTATATCATTTAAGATTGATAATAAAGTTCCGATTGATTTTGAGAATTATATTGTTTATGTACAATTTGCATTCCATTTTCATCTAAATACTGCATCATCATGTGACTGTAATGACTTGAAGCCAAGCCAGGTCGAAATAATAGTTTTTCTTTGATATGATAGCTCTCGATAAAAGGCATCAAACGTGCTTTAAGATACGTTTCTTGATCAACAGCTTGCTTCTGTTTGGGAAAGAACGGTTTTGAAATATCATTTTCAGACACAACAATCCAAACCAATATTTTTGGATCAAACTTTTGACTTCTGTTAAATTTTATTTCTGATAATACAATACTTCTATCTAATGTATAAAGAATGATATAAACGACGTGCACGAGTTGGGATTTCTTCAAGTTGTTTATCAGTATATGTTGGTGCTGATTTTTTTCTCATAATACTTTATACTCATAGTTTTCAAATGGTTTCCAATTGTTTTGAAACTAATAACTTTAAATTTTGAAGATAATCGATGTAAAGAAATATCTGTCTTGTTATTAACAAGGAGGCGTTTCAGCCGTGTTAATTGTCCTCTTTGGCCAACCAGATCGAGGATTACTTATTTACAGTGGATTTCTTTTGTCTATTTGCTACATTAATGTAATATTGTACCAACCGTTTTTTTTTTGCAACTACTCTCTTTCTGAACATGTCATATCTATAAAACAAAACAATGATATAGCATTTTTTTTATATCAGATTAAAACTCTTTGAATGCTCTATCATTTAATATAAAAAAAACAACCAGTTCTGCACGAGAAATCAATATGACAAGTTTGTGCTGAGACTTTTTACAGGTAGATTAGTCGTCCTCAAAGAATTTTGTATTCGATGAATAGCGCGCCATATATATTTCTCAGACGACTAGAGCTCGTCGGATACGAAATTTTTAGACACGGGACCAATCCGATGGACTCTAGTAGAGAGTGTCTAAATGTTTATCTTTATATTTCTCTGCATTGTGTTTCACAAAAAGATGTTCAGATCGATTGAAATGAGTTTTTTTTATTTGTAGAAAATTCAAATGAAATGACTATGAATAAAAATTTCATTCGACACCTCAAGATATGAAAGCAGAAGATTGATTTTAATATAAAAAAAAATAACTTTTCTGACTTAATTCGAAAAATATAGATATTATGTCTATATTCTTCTTATAATAATATGTATCTCCTGGTCAAACTAGAGATTGTATTTCTTCAATTGAATGTATTAAAATAAATTTTAGCTATTCGTGATCGATATTTAATCTAGATGCTTGCAGTGGCATTACTTATATGCGGAAATTTGTATTTCGTAGAAATGGGAATTCACTATGATCTTATAATAGCTTCAACAAATGAACAAGGCCAATTGTGGGTTATGTTAACTTTCTGTTGGATATTGATAACATTAATCAAATGATTCGACTAAACTTATAGCTTAAATTTTTTTTTTAATGATTTTTCTAAAATATTTGTCATTTATTTTGATCATTTATCAGTAACTCAAAATAGTCAATAGCATATTTTCTTTTTTCTTAAGTTCTCAATTGATTTATAATAATATATATTTTTAATATTTAGCTTCATCATTGATTAATAGTAAAAAATCTCGAAAAAATCCAACAACTGGTTCAAGTCGATCTCATATAAATTTTCCATATGAAAAACCTCAATTACGTTCAGCATCAGCATCATCATCATCATCTCTATCACCTCCAACACGAAAAACAAGACGTAAAGGTCCATCAAAATTAGCAGCAAAAAATTAAATCAACAAACTCTCTCTCTGTCTCTCTATTTTTTGTTTCTTATATCATTTTGCAATAATTCAATTTTCATGTATATATTAAAATCTCTTAGCTAGAAACGATTATAAAAGAATTTAAATGTTCATTTTGCTGTATGTTATAAAATACAAGCAAAGGAAAAAAAAATTTATATGTAGAACTGATATATTTAGGTATCTGTATTTCTTTTTTTCTTTTTCTTTTTTTGGTTCTCTGTTTTTTTTTTTTTTGTCGCATATTACATATATGTTCGATGTAACAAACACAGACTATATCCACACTTATATGTAAATTTATTTTAAAAGATGATTTTTGAAAATGTATACATTGTCAACTATCAAGTAGATGTTACTTTATGAGCCAATAATGTTCATGGATTTTTGTATGATTCTTTTGCTTATGCAAGCATTATGTGATATGATTCGTTACTTTTTCTTTTTCTTCATCTTGATGATATACTGTGCTTGTATAGACATTAATGTAATTTCAAATTGACAAAGAAAAAGAGGAAAGAAGGTACTATTCATTTAATGTAGACGTGAATTGATTGGCAATATCGATACTGTCAAGTGACACGTACTGTATAAGTGTCAAACAAAAGAAATTGTATATATGTTTGTGATACAGAAAAAAAAAAGAAAAAATTTTCTTCATTGAGTTTTTTGATTATGTAAAGAAATAGAGAAGAATATCTTATGTTTGTTTTTCCTTCAAAATGATATTTTGTATGTTTATTATATGAATAAAATCTTTTGAATTTCGGATAAAATACGGTTGAATCGATTTATGAGAACAACATTTGATATCTTACAATTATGATAGAAAATAAGAAATTTTTTCTATAGATATCTTCAATGTACAATATGCTGTCTCTATTCTTTTGATGTACAAAGTTTATATACAAAATTTAATATCGATAAGACCATGAAAAGAAATTTGAGCTAACTACAATAAGATTAAATGGAGTATAAATGAAGATTTGTATTGTTTTTTCTTTTGTACATAGATCAAATTGAACATTGAATGCAACTATAAAGAACAAGTAGAAGATGATAAACTATGTATAAATAGAGACAACAAATTTGAAACCATCTGTTCCATCGACCTTATTCAAGGTTAATGTATTTAAGCTTAAGCAAATGGCTTATATGTATGTCTGGAGTTTGATTTAAAATATTATATGTTAGATAATATTTAGTTTATGATATATCTAATTATATGATAGGTAATTCTTATATTCAAAAGTAACAAAAAAAAAAAAGAAGCCAAACATAAGTATATTATTCTTATATTTATTGACGATACCTTCATGTCTTCTATACTTGTTAACGTTATTTTTTAAGTAAATGAACAAACTTTTGAATTATTTTATTTATAATTAAAATAAAATATCAAATGAAAGATTTCTTTAAATTTCAAAAACAAATAATAGAATAATAATTCGAAAATGATATTTTTTCCGTAAGTTTTTGTTTATTACAATATTAAAACAATAGAATATTGTATATGCACATTTGATGTCTTTCTTTATTTAAACTCAAGTTCGATTCAATGTATGCAAGTGTAAAAGAAACGAAGAATAGAAAACTATTTCGACTATTACATTGTCTGTGTGTGTCAATTTGTGTAATCGAATATTGAACTGAAGTTCTATTCTTTTTTTTTTCTTCTTTTCGTTCTCAATTTCTCTTCTTTTTCTTCTTTTTTTGCCTTTCAATACGATCGGTAGCTGCATCGCTGTCAATGCCATTCTTTTCTACTCGATCTGTTTTATTTCTTTGAATATGAAAATTTACTCTTTGTCGATGACTACGTAACATTAAGAAGAAGAAGTTTCTTTTTAACCAAAAAAAAACAATGACACAAAGAAGGTAGATAATTATCATTATTATTATTATTATTATCTCTTCTTTGTTTTTATCATAGATCAAGAAAACCAATTATATTTGATATGAATTCAAATAATAATGATGATGATGATGAGGAAAAACATTGGTATCATATACGTTCATCATCACCACCACCTTCATCTTTCAGCATTAATAATAATTTTTCTCATCAATTGTCGCCGGCAACGATAGGCTCATGGGGCTTTGACGTTAATCGCTCAACAAATGGGCAGACACTATTATCATTTACATCAAACAATAATAACAACAACAATGATCAACATAAAATAACAAACGATTATAATGAACATCTTGTTGATATGTCATCATCATTATCTTCTCAAAATTTTCAATTACGTACACCAACATTAACTAAACATCGAAATGGAAATGAATTTGCTGCTGTTGATCGTCTTGTACTTGGACCAAGTCGTACAATAAAATCAAATTATTATCCATCGGATGATTCATATCCACAACAAATGATATCAACAAATCAATCTCGAATAAATTCAAATAATGATAGAAAAAAACAAGCAGAACAAGAACTTATAGCTTGGCAAAATCGTATGTTAGAAAGGTTTGTATTCATCTTCAGAAAGTATATATATTATTATTCTTTTGAATTATTTTCTTTCTAGAGATCAACGAATTGCTTGTCAATCACCAAAATTAATCAATAAAAGAAATAGAGTAAGTATTATTGTTTTCTTTTTCGATTATAATTTTTTTTTTTTTTTCTTTAATGTTTAGTTTAATTCTTCACAATCATCCAATCGTCAAATACGTAAATATTTTAACAAAGAGGTACTTAAGAAATACAAGAAAAAAAAAAGAATTTTTTATTTTCAGCTTCATCAATTCGACCAATATCTATTATGTCAAATATGAGTGAAAATCTATATTTTGAACATGATCATGTAAAGTGTTATGTTTCTTTTATTTTTTATTTATTAATAAATGAATAATTAATTTTTTTTAAAATTTTAATTAGCATGAATCAACAATAAAATCAGCACGTGTTATTAAACGATATATTGAATTACTTTATCATTTACAAACATATTATGAACGTATAACTGATCAATTATTTAATGGAAATAATTTTTTGAGAACAACGTATATAAAAAGAATAATTGATATAAATTTTAATATATTGTTTTTTTTTTGTGATATTAGTCAATCATCTCAATCAATATTTATAAATCATTGTCGAAAATTTTCTGAACAATTATATAATTTAAAACCAATTTGGGAAGAAAAATTAGCATATCTTCAAAATTTACTTAAAGATATATCATCTTTTGAATGGTCAACAATAAAAAGTGAGGTTTGTAAATAATTTATTTAGAACAAAGAAAAAAAAAAAAAAAAAAGAAACAGACAAAAACAACTTTATCAATTATTTATTATAGACAACATTTTTACAACGTCGTTCAACTTTAATTAATTTAATACAAACATTAAATACACAAAAAAATCTTGATGATACTGATTTATCTTTACGTGTAAGTAAATTTGAAGAAAAAAAAAAATTTGTTTGTTTTTTTTTCATGTTTAATATGTATATTTTTTTGTTTTTTTTGATAGACTGATATTGATCGAGTATTGTATGATGATAAATTAGGTAAGTTTTATACTTATTGTTAAGAAGATTATTGTATTAAGAATCATTTTAATATAAAGCTATTCAACTTCAAGATGAACTTTCAACATTACTTCAACATCAAGTTCGTATTTTGTCAGCAGTGTTTTTTATGTCTAAAGCTTTTCTAATGAAGGGGAATGAAAAAATAATAATAATAATAAATTCGTCCTTTTAGTGAGACAATTTCTTCTATTTTACTGTTTGTGTTGTATAAGTTGGCTAGAACATCCTCATTCATTCTAAGCAAAATTCATGATCTGTACGACAAATTTGTCTTTTTTTAATGATAGCTATCTTTAGTATAATTGAGAATGTGCTCTTATCATTGATACAGTACAAGGAGAAATGTTTTTTCTAAAGATTTTGAAGCGAAACCAGATATGTATCAGTTCGAGTTAGAGCTTGACCGGTTCGGATCCAAAAACTTTGAACCTAATGAGCTCTACCCTATATATTTCTCAGACGAGTTGTCTGAGAGATGTGTAGGGTACACTAGTCACCGAATACAAAAAAGTATCTTGTTTCTTTGGGGCGGCTGTTCTATTTCGATTAGAACATTCCATTGAAAGTATTAAAATGCGACTCGAACGGATCTGAAAATTTTGAACCCGATGGGTTCTAGTTCCAATCCAACTGAATATTAAGCCAGCTGTATATCTCCCCGCCTAGCTACCACTCTGGCTGAATGGTACTTCGACTGGTGTATATCTAAGCGAAACTAGAGTTGTAACCGATCCGGATCGATTGAAATGATTGATATTTCATTTTTCTCTGATAAAATTTTTTGAGAACAAGTTTATGTCCTCTTATAAAAATAATCAAATAGTGTTGTTTCAAGAACTAACTATTTTATTTTCTTAATCGAAATATATTTCATTATTCAAAACGCTCAGTCAAAACTGTTTCACTTTTGTTAAACTACTATCATAACACAAAAAGGAAAATTAATGCTTTTTGAAGCCATTTTCATTAACCACCCGGACTGGACTGGTTACAAATCTGAACGAAACCTGGTCTAATACTAAAATTTTGCTTACTTATACTTTTTTGGTATGACCGTATTTAAATTGACGTGAACAATTCTCTTACTATAGATGAAGTAAATTGTGCGATAGGTTTATATTTGCTTCAAACTTAAACAAAAGTGCCTTCAGCAAAGTCAGTTTAATAAAAGAAGAAAAGAGCAGGAACTCATGGAAGAAATGAACAATGTGCAAACGTTCGAGGTTCTCGTTTCTCTTTAGTAATCATGAGATATATCTGAGAAAGAACATATGTGTTAAACATACTTTGTCGAAAGTACTTTTTGGACACGGAGGGCGCTCCAAAGGTGAGGGTGAGGGCAAAATGAGTTGACCTCTTCATGCTGAACAAGTCTATATAAGAATTAAAGAGCTCGCAACAATCTAAAGCATCCTACGAGTTTTTTGACGAAATGCTTTTCAGCGAAGAGGGTTACAACCGGTTTTTTTTCTCTTCTAGTCTTTATTAAATGATTTAACATCATTACTTCAATGGAATCGTCAAATCTATTCACAAAATGAACAAAATCGTGTTGAAAATGTTTTACCTTTATTACGTGAACAAATTACAACAACTGATAGTTATATATCACATGTTAGTCAGGTAAACTATTATATTGAAAAATTTTATTTTTTTTGAATCTATTGAATTATTTTAATAGCAATTAACTGAATTGGTAATGAATTTACGTTCATTAGAAAAATATATTTTATCTTATACAAATACAATACCATTGATTGATGATGGTAAAAGAAAAATTAAAAATTAATTTATTCGTTTTGAAATATTTGATTTAATTAGGAATGATATCTTCACAAGATATGTCATTAAATCGTAATCATTGGCGTCCATATGATGAAAATGATTTAGATTCGATGAGAACAAGAGTATAAAATTAAATATATATATATATTTTTTTTTTATATTAAAGATATGGTTATTTCCTTTTTCAGGAATCTCGTTTACAAGAATATGATCGAAGTAAATTATTTGATTCTTTCTTTTTTTATTACTTATTTTTTTTTTGATTTTGGGTTTTTTTTAGATGGAAGTATAAATGATCTATCAAGTAAAAAAAAATATTTATTAATAAAAATATGAATTATTTATTCGTTATTTCTAGAAACAAGATCTGCTTCAATGTCTCGTATTACTAATTCTGACGAATTAAATTATCATTTTGTAAATCATATCTTTTTTTTAAAACCTCTCCAAAAATGTCAATTTTCATTAGAAAAATCGAAATACCTGGGAAGATAGATCGAGATCTGATCTTTTTATAGACGATATGATTTTTTTTTTTATTTAGCATCTTACTCTTCGCCAAAACGTTTGATGATTTCGGTTATCTTTTTTGCTTTTTCTGATCGTGCATCCTCAAAATTCTCGAAGAAGCTTCATTATAACCATTGGCTTTTGTTTTTGTTTGAAAGAACATGTGAAGTTGTAGTATCAATTTTTGATTTAAGCTTTTTTATCATTATATAAATAAGCACTTAAAGATTCTATCAGGTACTGCAGTCTGACATGGTCTTTCAAATAAAACGAAAAAATTTAAATCTATAGAATGAGAGTCTATAGAGTATTTTGAGTTGGCATATGAGTTATTTTTGACGTTTATTTCTCCTTTTAACATATCCTGAAAATTTCATGTGAATTGAATGTACTTCGCCAAAGATCGATTTTTGACGGAAGAGAACTTAATTTTACAGCAGCACAAAAAAATTATTATTATTTTTCTTTTTTTTTTTGTTGTCGAAGAGTCGTGATGATCTACGAATATTAACAAAGAAAAGCAATATACATGTAAATGAAAATAATAGTAATAATAATGGTACATTAACACGTCTTGCAACAGTTAAATCTGCTAAACGTGATAATAAAATTCAACCAAATGTAAAAATCTATTAGAGAAAACAAAAAACAAAAATTTTGATATTATATTCTAGAGTATCCTTAAGGCATCATATCCTTCTATATCATCGTCGAATGAAAGAAAAAAAACTTTTGATCTTAGTACAGAAGTACATATTATCATGAAAATTTAATTATTTTATAAATACAATTTATTTTTTGTTTTAAAGATATCTAAACCAAATAGAACTAACATATGTAATCGATTAATTGATTGTGATAATGATGATCAAGTATTAACAATTAAAATGAAGAAAAAAGACGAGCTTCGAAAAACGCATTCAAAACAAAAGTAAAAAAAAAGAAAGAAAGAAATTTTTTCTTTTTTACTATTTGTATTCAATTATTTATTATCTAGTATGCAAACAATAAATGATCATATTCGATCACATTATAATCATAGAATATTTGACAAAGAACATGATAGAGTTATTAGTCATATTTTGTTTTTTTGAATAAAAGTGATTTGTATTTATTATTTATAGGCTTTGAATTTACAATCAAGACTTGTCGAAGAAGCAAAAGAGAAAAATCGTCAAGTTGCAAGTTAGTAGATTTTTTGTTTTGTTATCTGTTCGTTTGGGAATGACTAACAATTTGTAATCGTGTGTTGATCAGAATAATTCTTTTTTTGTTTCAAAGACTTATGATAACCATCATTGGGTGAGCTAAATTAAAAATCTAATTTGTTTGTGTTTATGTCTCTTGGTGCTTGATATTAGATTGTTATTTTTTTTGTTGCAATTTTAAATTTTTAGTATTGAATTTTTTTTTCCCTTTTAGCAAAACATTCGTTACATAAATCATATCAACAACGATGGATCTGTTCTAATTCATAATTAACAATAATAGTGATGATGTTAGATTTTACATTCACATCTTTTCCTTATTCTTCTTTTAATACAGTGTTTTATTTCTTTAAACAATTTTTTTTTCAATTATACTCTGTTGCTTATATCACTATTTTTTATATATTGTGCATGTTTTGCATGTGTACTATGTAAACGAGATTATTTCTTTGAAAAGATATAAAATAACATATTTCTCAATTTAATAGTTATATATATATATATACTGAATAAAAAAAGAAAAAGAAATTAAGAACTATAATTTGTGATATTTCAAAATGATTTCTATTAGTCAATTTTCAATTGGATAGTAATGAAAAATCTATAAATAATCAATCCTAACATGACAATATGTTTTGCAACTACATCAGCAGTATGAAAAAGTGTAGAATCCTAACTCCTACAATATAGTTTAGTATTCTTCATTTTTTTTTTACATTGTGGCAAATATTGTTTCTACATAATACTATGAGGGTGTGGATGTGGGTGTATGGCTTAGGATGAAATGAACCCACACCAACCCTTGTGGTCAGAGGTATCCTCTTGAAATCTTCACGAGGACGAAAGTAATTAGCCATGCTGAATCCAATCTTCTCAAACATTCTTGATGACGATTGACAAGTAGAAAAGATGCTATGAATTATGATTAGTTTCACAATTATTCATTTTTAGTTTTTTTCAACATATATTATAAAGTAAAAAAAAAATATTTTGAGACTGTAAAACATTCAATTAATAGAAAGATGATCTGAATTTTTTGGCCACTAAATCTGATTTTAAATTACTGATTCAAAAAAATAACATTTTTCTTTTATACTAGTATCATAACATAATTTATTATGAAACATATTTCTTCACGCAGAAGAATATTTTTCTAACAATATTTTTCTATTTTGAAAAGACCTATAACATCAAAACAAGAAGAATCTTTTTTTCTTTGCTGTCAGCTATATGTATGATACATGAATAAGCTGTATGTGTATACATATGTTCGTGAATCAAAACCGGAAAAAATAGAGAGAACGATAGATCCTTGCTATTTCGACTAGAAAATCTATTTTTGAAACAATCTGCTGGAGTAGTGACATCTAAAGGTATTTAAGAAAAAAAAATCAATCTTATCTTGTGTATTAATATTTTTTCCTGCATTAAATTCAAAAATATTAGTTAGGTGTAAAATTATTTTAATTTCAGAAAAAAATAAATACTGAACTAAATTTGCTAGTTGCCTAATCATCGATTTCATGAATGACAACAGCATGTTGTCTGATCTAGCTTATTTTATTTACTTGCTTTCAGCATCTTTTTACTACTTTATAATGATGACTGTATTCTTTTTATTAACAAAAGTATCAGCTGTTTCTTTTTTCTCTTTCGTTTTGTAGTGATTATGCTTGACAGATTGCGCAATTTATTAAGTATTATTGTGTGATACATTTATTTTTCTTTCGATGAGTAAATATATATCTTTAGGAGAAGATCAAATTTTTGACAATCAATTCTAATAAATTTTGTTTCTATTTCAGAATTTTCAAGTTAATAAATACTCGCTTGTCTAATCAGAAAAATTCGATTGAATTTATCTTACTTTACACATAATTATATATTTTAATCTTTCAGATTTTCTCTTAAAACTTTAACTGGTAGTTAACAGGTGTATTTCCTAGGATCATGTCGAACGAGTTCTCGGAAAAAAATCAGTTGATATATAATTTACCAAAATCTGATATAATGAAAAAGAGAATATCATTGAAACTTTTGGATAACGTCCGCCGAACTGTGGAAACATGTAGAGTATTGATGGACAAGCGAGGTGTTCATTCAGTGATTAACATGTCTACCGCTGGATTTCAATATACTGGTGATAGAGACACAGCTCGTTGTAAACATTGTGGACTTGAAGCATTCAATTGGACAGTAGATATGAATCCATTTACTATTCATTCTGAACAAAGTCCTCATTGTTCATACGTTCGCTCCATGAAACCATCATCATGATCAGCTGTACTTGAATCTTCCCTCCTCGTCAACAACTACTGATCAAAATACATTAATATCAGATGAACAAGAAAATCATCCTCAACCTCGAAAAATTGATTTAAAATCTCGATTAAATAATTTATTCGAACCTGATTCACTTCAACAATGTTGACGAAATACCTTTTGCCAATGGCCGCATCGTGAAGCTCTATCAAGTGAATGTATGGTTCAAGCTGGATTTTTTCGTTGTGACACTAATGATCGAATTATATGTCCTTATTGTGATCTAACATGTGAAAAATGGACACCATATGTAGACAATCCTAAGGAAGTACATAAAGCACTTTCTCCTACGTGTTTATATGTTACAGAAAAATTACGCCTTGTTGAACCACCACCTATTATAAATGGCAATATTAGCTCAATGGCAACTATTGCAAGCAGTCCTGTTCGTGCGCCAAATAATACCAATTCACCCTTACTGAGTACATTTGCTCGTCCAGTTGCACAAAATCAAAGTAATAGCGTCGTTCATAGACCGGCTGGTTCTGCCCCAACGTGTCCTGTTGATAATTCACTCTCTATTGACGAGCTCATTCAAGAAAACACTGCGTCTACAGAAAATCAATTTGATGTAAATAAATTTTGCTGCAAAGATTTATTAGACCATTGGGATCCAGATGATAATCCAACGATTGAAAATGATCGCTGGTTTCCACATTGGAGAAATGGTCAGCAATTATATGGTGACCAATTATATCATAAAATTCAAGAAACCAATCGAGCACACCAACGTATGTTCAAATATTGTCTTTTTATAAGACAAATTTTCTGTTTGGTTTTTTTTAGTACGTACTAATTTGAGGAAACTAAGTGAAAAGGTAAATCCTGATGTTATAACAAATACCAATCCAACTTCAAATAGTCAACAATCACTCATGTCTAATGAAAGTATTCTATCCATTATTGAACGATGTTGGCAAAGTCAATTACAAGAAAAACGTATTATGATTGTTTAAACAATTTTTATTTTCACTAACCTTTTGTTTATTTAGATGAACGTCTTGTTTGTTATCGTGATTTATTAATTGTTCGTTTTATTCAACAAAAGCAAATAGAACTTGGAAAAAATATTATTATACCATGTGCAAAAATGAAACAACTCCCAAAAGAAGCAATAAAAAGATACCAAAGTATGTTTTTATTTTATTAAAAACTTTCTTTCATAATTTCTTTTCAATTTTATAGAAATACATGGACAAAGACAAATACCAGTGGAGTCTTGCATCGTCTGTTTAAAAGAAGAAAAACGATTAGCTTTCTTACCATGTGGACATTCGTTTAAAGTATGCCCATTGTGTCGACAAGAAATTAAAGCATCTGTTAGCGTTGACATTAACGTCTAGGGTTCGACAGTCATGATTTTAGTTTTTTCAAAAGTAACATAAATTAGTGATTATTATCCAGTGCTCTTGAATCTTGCTTAGAAAGCAAGCTAAATGAGACATACTAGATATTTTTGAACAGTCTTTAATTTAAATATTTTTTATTATAGTTTTTTGATAGTCCGATTATAAATCTCTAAATGCAGACTGTATTTTTAAACCTGAAAATGACGGTGAAGCTTTAGTTAGTTTATTCGTATGATGCATTTGTTGTATTGTTGTTTATTTTTATTATTGTATATTTACTATGTCAAATTTATTTGATCTGTTATATTGACTAATTTAGTAGATTAGTGATACATTATATAAAAATATATCTGAAAGTGATCTTTATGTTTTATGCATCTTCATAGTTGCAAATAACAAATCAACAATGTGCAAAAGAGATTATATTATTACTTTAGAAATTCATTAACAGAATCGTCATTTATGAATATTTAAGAAGAACGCTCATAGTACGAATAGATCATGTCATTATTTTAGAAGTGTGTAACATTTATGAATTGATTTTATTATTGAAGATAAGCGCACATTAGAATTTTTGAATCATTGTTTTAACTAAATCAATTTTTTATGGGTAAGTTTGATCGCGTTCTTAAAAGTACGCGATTCACTCAAGTATTAACAGCGAAACATATCTGTCATCCGTTTCGTTTTTTATTCTGACGAACTCTATAATCATAAATAGATTATTTCTTAATGTATATTTGAAATTTGAAGATGAAAGCCAAAAAAAAAGGTCATGCATGTATTTCAATGATTATTAAAGGTAACTCTATTTATTCATTTGTTCGTTTATCTGGAAAATATTTTAATATGCACTCTATCGGTTTTGAGTGTGGATGTTCTCTTCATCGATACGTACACCCACAGCCACCTTACACACTATTTTAGGTCTGATTGAACAGAACCATTTTTTTTAAATTAAATTCAGCCGTTCTTTTAGTGATAACAGCTTAGAATCTATTGCAAGTTATTTTGATTGAGAAAAAATTTGAGATTAAATAGCTCTAGTTTTCTGTCTAGCATCCAAAATTTCTATCTATTAACATTGCATAATGTAGCCGTACTCGTAAGCTGTCGCTAAATTACACGAAAAAACATTCAGAATTCTTCAGAGTCAGAATCAGAGTTAAAAAACGTGGCTCCACAGGTTTCTATTCAGGACACCCATTGAAGATATTTGCGAAAATATTTCAATGCAGTACTTTAAAAATTTCAAAAAAATTATTGATTTTGCTGGCTGCCAATGAATAATTTTCAATTATTGGGGGGTGTACACCCCCTACACCCTCCTACTTTCCTGGGGCCTGATCATAAGTGTGGGTGTGTGGGTGTGGATGTGACTTTGGGTCTTGTCTTGGTCTACACTCACACCCATACCCAGTACAATTCTAAATAATAGTTAGTTTATCTATTCACCTACTTTCCAAATCTATGCAGCTGGCATGTTAAACAATCAATTTGGTGTCTGTAAAGCGACAGTTACGGGAGCGTCATTCCGACAGCAATTTGGACAGTATCCCAGAGCCCAATGACTAGCACAGCCTTTCTTGCGTTACAAACAGATCGTAATCTGGTTGTTTATGCAATGGGTGATGCTGTGTTGTGGTCACCTTTTGTTCAAAATGACGGTATCGGAAATCCATTCTGCTTGAAAATACTAGATTCGAGGAATCTGATATGGACTGATAATATCAGAACAATTGTTTAGGAGTCAAATAGTGCACAAATCGGATAGTGTCTTCCTATTTTCTATTTACAGAAATGAATCTAACAAACTCAAAGTGAATCTTCAATGACATTCTGTTGACAGACAGTGACAAAATAATGTGGTGGTGTATCTTTCGTTGCTTAAAAGCTTCTTTTGACTCTTTCGCAAGGCTCCTGTAAAAATTTAGCAGACTGATTTATATATTCATATACTTTGAAATAGCTTTTGAGATTTTTATGAAAATGCACAAGTCGATTACTCAGTCTAACACGAAATTCTAAGGAATATGTATGCATTCAGTATAATTGCTGCTTACATATGCACCAGTTATTATAACATGACAAGTAGCTGGCTATTCCGAGTTCGAAAATAAACCGAGTTTTCAAAATTTTGCCAACACTAGCATAATCAAAGTCCAAGACAAAATTTTATCTCAATTTGAATTATAATTGGAATAAAGGCACCCTTGTTAAAATGACCAAAATGACGAATGGTAAATCTTTATCTGAACTATGATTATGCTTCAAAATATGGATTTTGATGTTAAAATGGCTAAAATATAAACATAAATTTTACATGTGGGCATGGGTGTAGTTGAAGATATTACTGATACCCACTCCAGCATGTATCCCTAATGAAAATTCTCATTGTTTCCATTGCAAATCCTTAACGAATTCAGTAAGGATCCGCCATTTTTTTTCCTGAGGAAATGACCGAATCCTGAAGAAAGCGTGTAGCCATGGCATTTCAAAATCCTGCCAGGATTTAAAACAGGATTTAATTAAGATCCTATGCGGTTTACGACCATTTTCGAGCTAGAAATCGTTCAGAAAACCGCTAATTCCTGGAAGAAACGTGTAGTCAAGAAGTGACAAAAATTTTGACTGGATTTGAAACAAGATCTTTGAAGGATCCTGATCACATTTTTATTGCTTTTGAATCAGGATCCTACCATGATTTGAATGATTCCGAATTGACAAAAAAATTCTCTCTACATCCTGCAAGTTTTTGCCAGGTTCTCTTGAGAATGTTATCAGATTTCTTGGTAGAATCTTTACAGAATTTTCTAAAGAAAACAGAAAACAAATGAATAGATAAAGTATTGATCTCTAGACCTTCAGTATACAAACCGATCAGCTTACCCGACTGACAAGGGAACATTCCCAACTGTCACATCGCTTTTGAGTCGGGCGTATGCACATCATGTAGACCGTAATGATCTATGAATATCCTGAAAAAAGTTCGTGCCGCTTGCTTATTATTGCCGAGATATTGTATTTTTACTGTATGTTTAAGAAAAAAAAAGCCGTGGTGCCCCCTCAGGAACACTAGAAAAACTAAGTTTCGAATTTCGACTTGAAACTTTGCATAGAGATAGGCCTCAGTGAGAATAGTTTATTGTGAAAATTTCAGATATTTTCGTTGTTCCTATCGTAAGATGCAGCTATGGTAAAATAGCTTATATATATCAGCAGATTCCGATGTTCTTATTTCAGACTAGAAGCAATCAAAAGATCTAAAACTTTCACAATAAACTATTCTCATGGAGACCGGTCCCTGTACAAAGTTTCAAGGTGAAATTCGAACCTCAATTTTCCTAGTATTCCTAAGGGAGACCACGGCTTTTTGCTTATACATACAGTAAAAATGCAATATCTCGGCAGTAATAAGCAAGCGGCAAGAACTTTATTCAGAGTATTCATAGATCATTAGGGCTCACATGATGCGCATACGATCGATTCCAAAGCGATGTGACAGTTGGGAATATTCCCTCGTCGGTTTTAATTAATAATAGAAAGACTACATAAAAAAAAATGATTTTGTGTTTTTCTCGAAATTAATTTTTTCGCTAATAATCGAACTGCGAACAAACTCGTTTCAATATGCTTCAATCTAGAGAGTTGTATTTTTTTTTCATCGGTAGATATATGTATAGTCTTTCAGATGAGGAAACCGAATTTTTTAATTGGTCATCAATGCTAGAGAAATCCTAGCTCGTCCAGAAAATCATGCCTAGAATTTCCAGATTTTTGAGATTTTGATGATCTTTAAAATGCAACATAGGAAAAATTAAAAAGATTCTTTTCGTCATCCGAAACAGTAACAAGTTCTCTTTCAAATAAAAGCAACCCGAACTCTGTAGCTTGATGTATATTAGAAAAAAAATTTGTAAATGTAAAAGCCCTGTTTTACACCTTGGTTCATAGATATCTCCTGAATAGTAAGGTATAGAGGCGTGAAATTCTTTTTTTTACTAATGTACTTCCATGAACCCAACTTCTATGCAAAGTTTCATCAATATCTCATCGAAATTAAATTCTTGAGTGGAGGCTCAAGTTTTTCTATTAAAAATGAACCAATTTTTTTTCAAATCTCTCGATTATAGTCTAGTGTTGCTCAACATAAACACTGATTATTGCAATAGTAATCTTTTCATTTGTGTAATCAACTGTATAATATTTTAATATATTCTATATTAACTTGATCAAATTATGGATATAACAATGAAAAAATTTTCATAATTATTCTAGCATAAAATATTTCAAAGTGATATGTATATTAATCAATAGACTGAAAACTGTTTTAATTATATAGTCGATATGCAAAAGGAACTGTTTGATATACGCCATTTATTTTTAACATTTATTCACTTGATATATTCTATTCAAATATCAAAAACAAGTCCTATTTTCATTGATATTAATAGTTGAAGTAAAAAAAATATCATACAGAATAGTGCGCTCCTATTATATTCTTTCAATTTTTCTACTGCATTTTAGTAGTAAATTGATCACAAGATTATTATACGCTGCATATATATATATATTCTCTTTTTTGAATCATTTATTGCAGAACAATTACTGCTGGCAAATAGCATGGCTTCTTTTTCAATTGCTATTTTGTTATTGATGATTATTTCATTGATCAATGCTGCAAAAGTTTGTCCTGGCTATGGATTTATACATGAACCAGAAAACTGTACATCAACATGTTCAGCGACTAATGATCAATGTCCTCCAGAAAAAAAATGTTGTTATATTATTACAGAACCATGTGGTTTTCATTGTATTGTACCAAAAGATAATGTCGAAAAATCAGGCAAGTGTCCAACTTCATCACCTAATGATCCAAACTGGTTTTTATGTGATGCACACAGTTGTGATGTTGACAATGATTGTCAAGATATTCAAAAGTGTTGTCCAAATTCTTGTGGTTCTCCTATATGTATGACACCAAAATGATTCAAATAAATATTGAATTAAAAAAACAACACATTATTAATCTAAACTCATAAAATTCTTTCTTTTCTTTTTTTTAATAAACATATATA